GGCACTGAGTTGGCTTTCTATAAAATTCAGTGTGGAAAATGGAAGTGTTAAATTCTGTATCAACAGGAAGAGAGGGAAAAGAAGGGAAGCAGGTACAGCAACTAAGAGGCCAAAGGTACAAAAGGGCCAGGTAACCAAAATGCTAGGAATATATATGAAGAGAGGCCCAGCCCCCTGGACTGGAGCCTTCAGGATGCTGTAACAGGTAGGGGCAGAAGGACAGCTGGGAGAACCAGGTGGTCAGATTCACTTTGATATATTAAATAGGAATCTAAATAGCCATTAGTCCCAGGGTTTGAGACTTAACTACAAATGAATTTCATTTAGCAGAAAATTGACAATTAGAAGGTTTCAGGTTTTTACTGAAAAGCATCTCTCAATTTTTATTGCTTATTTATTTTACAGCTGGATGTGGTGTCTCACACCCTAACCCAATACTCAGAAGACTGAGGCAGGACCATGAATGAGTTTCAGACCTCCCTAAACTAGAAGGTGAGCTACAGGCTAGCCTGGGCTCAGAGTCAGCCTCTACCTCAAAACAATCAAACAAAACTCCTCCACTTCAATTAAGAACATGTACTTCTTGGCCAGGTGGTGGTGGTGGCAGTGCACGCCTTTAATCCCAGCACTCAGGACGCAGAGGCAGATCTCTGGGAGTTCAATCCAGCCTGGTCTACAGAGCAAATTTCAAGACAGGCTCCAAAGCTAAAAGGAAGCCCTGCCTCAAAAAAAAAAAAAAAAAAAAAGCTTCTGGGTGGAGGTGTAACGGTGGTAGAACGCTTGCACACTACATGTGTGAAGCCCCAAGTCCCAGAACCAGCACTGTGGGAGGAGAAAAAGCAAAAAGCAAGAAACCCTGAATGTGGACTTCCAATACAATGATATTTTACAATCCTGCAGCAAAACAGATGGCATGGCCGTCACAAGTGACATCATCCAGGTTTCAGACCATCTAATGGCACTGTTTGTGGTTTACTGCCTCAATACTGGTGTTAAAATTGACCACAATGAAATACATATTTGAAAGGATACATCTGGAAATCATATATTCTCCTCAAATTTCTTGGTAGAGCTATTCCTTTACTGGTGTGTCCTGAACAAAATGGACAGAGAATGTCCCACAAACCAGACAGTTCTCAACCCATACCAAAAAACTAAAAAGTATTGAAGATTGGATGTTACCTCTACTCTATTATGTTAATCCGTCTGTCTCCATGTTTTGATGTATTAAAACAGAAGTTACTCCACACCATATTTGTTACCCAAAAATTGAGTCTACTCTCTAAAGGATAAAAGATAGTAAGGTATGAAAACAATCACTGATAAGGCTTTTTAGACCTGGTCAGATGCTCAGCAGATACGGATGTTTGCCACCAAGTCTGATAACCTGACTTCACACCCTAGAATCACATGGTGAACACATCACGGCACAAGTGCAAGCGTGTCACACACAATGAATCAGCCTTTAAAACTAGTCTGCCCATGAGCTCTGACTACAGTAAACCTCAGACAAGGGAGAACTCAGAGCAAAATCAGTGACAAAGCTTGATGATTATTGATAATAGGTGATACTCATTATATTGCTATTCTCTTCTGTATGTTTGATATTTTCCATAATAAAAAATGTTCAGAATCAACAAAATGGTTCCTCAGGTAAAAGCATTTAGCAGGCAACCCTAAAGACCCGACTTTGACCGCAGGAAACCACAGTGGAAGAGTAGAAGGAGAGAGTCGATTAGATTTGTCCTCTCCTCTCACACATACACAATAAAAATAAAATTAAATAAATTTTATTGAAAATGCGTGAGGTAAAAACTTTTTGTGTTTAAAAACTATCCAAATTAGAAACAAAAATGAGGTTCTGGCACAAAGAGCTGGTTAGCAAATAAAGAGAAAACTGGCTGTTCGTAAATAATTGCTGGCACTTCAGAGGTGGAGACGGGTCGGGAGTTCAAGTTTGAAGTAAGCCTGGGCTACTAGAGATCCTGTCTCAAAAATCAAAGTTAAGCCAGGCATGATGTCTCTTGTCAGCAATTCCACCATTTGGAGGTGCAAAAAGGTAGATCAAGGCCATGCCACCCTAGCCTGGCATACCTATCTCAGGGTGGCGGTGGTGGGGAAATCACAACTGGTTTATATGAAGCCCCCCCAATCCTAAGAAATGTTAAAAAAAAAAAAACAGAATATCAGAGCAAAAATAGTTTGCAGGAATGATTTAGCCCTTCCTTTTATTCACAAGAAAGCAGAAAGGCTTGATTAAATAACTTTCTCACATTTCCAGAGTTGGTGGGATGAATGAAATTTTCTACTAATATTTCTTCTAGAAAATACTATTCATGATCACTTGATGATTATGTAGATGTTAAACAACACATTGCGGCTTTTTTTAAAAATATTTATTTATTTATTAAGCCTGCAGGCCAGAAGAGGGCACCAGATCTCATTACAGATGGTTGTGAGCCACCATGTGGTTGCTGGGAATTGAACTCAGGACCTTCGGAAGAGCAGGCAATGCTCTTAGCCACTGAGCCATCTCGCCAGCCCCACACTGCGGCTTTTTAAAAAGTGGCGTGGGGAAGCACAACTAACAGGTGACTTTAATATGACTTAGAGAGGAAAAACACACACCAAACACCACAGTATGTCCATCAAATTCAAAATGTCACATAGCTATACAATTCCAAGAAAGAGTTTCCAATATTTAACCAGCATTCTAAAAATATTCTACCTGACAGCAATTTTTGCTGGTTATTTACATAAAAATCAAGTTACCAGCATCAAGCTATCTAAACAGCAATACTGCCCCACATAAAGCATTGTATCCCCACTGTATTTTTAGCGCTTCCTTAGTAACACCATTACTTAGGTCAAAACAACAAAACCTAGTGCTAATTTACCAAACTCATTAACCAGAAGTTAGAAAACAATCATTTAATTATGATCATAAATCCAAACTGGATGTCTTCATACATTGGCATCTATATTATTGTACACTGAAGTTGCTTATATCCCCTGAAAGCAATATTCTTTGACAAGTGTATCAAAACGATTTTAAAAGGGTCTACCCCAACTAACAAACTGTATTTACTGTGTCCAAACATAAACACAAACATCTAGGGGGAACACATGAAATGAAGAAGCACTGAATTTTAACTACCTAAAAATCGGGTTTTCTTTGGTGAAACTGATCTCCACTTTTACGGATCCTTAACACTACAAACTTCTTTATACTCCAGTCAGAAGCTCTGTTAACCTTGACGTTTTATAGTCACTCTAAGGAGAGCAAATAGTGTTTCAGTTTTGCATCTTTTAAATTAAAGGAGAGCTATTCCCACCCTCTCAGTTAAAGGGTATGAAAAATCCATCAGAGGCCCCTTAATAATCAGCACATGAGAATTACCTCGCGGGGAGATACAGCCGACTATTGCGTTATAAAACCCTGAGTCATCACCCAGTTCACTCAGCAGATCCTGGTAAACACAAATGACATGTCCCGTGTGATCACTCAGCGGTAACCACATGCATAAACCAGACCGTATATAGCGTACCAAACAAAACAGCAAAATTCTTACACAAAGAATTCTGGCACGGTAAAGGCGCACACAGAGCAAAGATCTCTCCAAACATTTTTGCCCCAGCTCTAACTCCACTGGCTCTGTAATTTTCAGCTAGCGCACAGAGGACGCAAAAGAACTCTTTGCGTTAAGGTCGTCAACATTCATCTGACCAACTCAAAATAGTCTGGAGAGCTAGCAAAGCCCTGGGACAACTTGACAGCGCTTTTCACTGTTTGCCTTAGAATCAGCAAAGCCTCGACAGAGGAAATGTCACAACAGGAACATACGCTTTCCTAGGATTCTAAAACAACATTCTCAATATCAACGTCTGAGAGTGCGCTGACCCACCTATCTGAAACCAATCGTTTCAATTAAATCTAGGAGTCCAGAGCAGCACCCTCCACCAAACATATCAACACAGAGACACGGACGGACGGACACTCGCGCGCGCACACACACACACCCCAGAACCTCTTAGTCTCCCTGCGGTCTCCTTCCCACTCACGATGCGGTTTAGGAGAGAGAAAAGTGAAAATGCGTGGATCCTCGGGGAGGAAAGAACTAGAGGAAACCCAGAAGTCAAGTCAGGAGTAGCTTCCCCAAAGTCCGGACCTCTCTACCCCGCAGCTACACACTCAGAACTCCAAGGAAAGCCAAAGGGAACCGCTCGTCTTGTGTCCGCAGACCCTTGCGGCTCCCCAGAGCCTGGCAGGTGAAGAGAAACGACCAGGACACTGGGTAAGCGAGGCGACCGGCAGGACCCAAAGGTCCGGCGCAGAAAGAAGCCAAGAGGCTGGGTCCCTCCTGGGCTCGGCCACGGCCCTGGAACCCTGCACCAGGCCAGCGCCACCCGGACAAGACAAAGTTGAGCAGCCGCATCTCAGACAAAGAGCCCGGGCGGCCGACAGCCTCAGCCAACTTACGTGGAGAGTTTCCGGGTCCAGAAGAGGCCCCCGGGCCACAGCTCCTGGAGCTGCACCGCCCGGCCCAGGTTGCACTTGATCTGCGCCAGCTGCACGTCCGACTCGGCGTCCAGCTTCTCGGCGTAGGGCAGAAGCTTGTTGTACACGATCTCCTTCTGCGGGACGAAGGCCCGCGGGCCCAGCCCCGGCCGCCCGCCCGGCTCGGGGGGCTCCCCACCGCCCGCCCTCTCCGGCGCCTCCATGAGCCCGGGGCCGACCCGGCCCGCCCCCCGGCCCCCGCCCCGCTGCGGGCTCCGCCTCGTCCGCGTCGCGTCGCCCTCGGCCCGACCGCTGGGCCCCCCGGCTGCCCGGCGCGCTGCTGGACTCCGCGCGGCACCCGGTTCGTTGGCGGTGGCAGCGGCTGCTCTGCCGGGCCCGCTCCGGCTCGTCAGGTGACGCTGCAGCCGCTGGGCCTAGAGGTTCCGGAAGGGCCTCAAGTCACTTCCGGGGAGGGGCGGGGCGGGGCGGGGCGGAGCGGGGCCGCGGAGGAGGCGCGGAGGTGGCGGGGTGACTTTCTCGGCCTTGGCGGAGTTTGGTGTCCGCGGCTGGGTTCGCGAAGCCTCGCGTGAGGCCGCCCACGAGAAACAAGAGATCCCGCGCTGCTCCAGAAGGATCCAGGTGGCCTCCGCAAACACGGCCTCTCCAGGCCTAGTTTATGGAAGATTGTCCGTATTCCCGGTTTGGGGGCGGGGGCACGCAGAGGCAGTGCGCTGAAGAAGAGTTCAAAGCCAGCCTCGGCTACGTCGTTAGTTTGTGATATCTGTGACACACTATCTTTACAAAACGTGTATGGAAGTTCCTACATACCCTGTAGTACCCTGTATTCCTCTATCCCTTTTAAGCCCCACTGTCATTCCGAAGAAAATAGTTATTCAACAAATATTAGTTGAACTATTTTGTCTGTTATCCTCTCATTTTAGGTTCGCATGGAAAGTTTAAGAAAACCTGGTTCTGCCCTTAAGGACTTAGAGGCCAGCGGAGCTTACAAGCTGGGGAATTAAAAGACAACACTTTGGTAAATACTGGATGATTGATTACCCAGATTTCTGGAAATTCTAACTGAAGGCGTATCAGTTCCCTAGAAGTTAAGTGTCAATTAATCTGTAAAGTTGAGTGCAATGTTGTTTAGTAACGAAAGGAGGAAGATACATCTTTCAACTAACAGATGAGCGGAGGCTGCAGGCTTGTAATTCAAAATCCAGAAGACAGTCAATGTATTGAGCCTAAGAAGTAAGTGCTGGAGGATTGAACGTGATCCTAAAAGTAACCAGAAATTTCCAAGCCAGGGCATCATGGCATCCCAGCATTTGGGAAGTCAAAAAAGGAGGATTGTGAGTTTAAAATTAACTCGAACAAAAACAAAACAAAAGCTGAGAATGGTGGTCAGACTTGTAATCCCAGCAGTTGCACCTGGGAGGCAAAGGCAAAGGGGTTGCTCAGAGTTAAAGGTCATCAGGTCCGAGTTTCAGGCCAGGGCTGGTAGCAGGACTTAAGAGGTAGCCCACTTTCCTAGCCTGGGCAGAGCCTTGAGTTCCATCCCTATCCCCAGAACTTCTAGAAGAGTCACCACTTCAAAACTGTCTAAAAGATAATCCTAAAAGCAACATAATAAAGTTTACTTTTTCTTTTCTTTTTTTGTTTGTTTTGAGACAGGGTTTTACTGTGTACCCGTGGTTATTCCTAGCCTGGCCTTGAACCTTGGGGAACCCTGGGATTGCTGGCGCCTACCACACCTGAAAATATTTTACATAAAAAATGTTTTAAATTACATTTGTTTATTTCTTTGCACGAATGAGTGCCATAGTGCCTGTGGATGACTTCCGGGAGTTGAAGTTCTCGTTTCTCCTTGGGGGTCCAGAGAATCGAACTCTGCTCCTCAGGCTCGACTGCAGGTGTCTTTACTGACTAAGCCATCTCACCTGCCCCAAATTCCCATTTTTAAAGATCATCTGTGTGAAGACTTCATTTGAACAGACAAGATTGGGAACTGGAGGACCCTCTAATATTAAGTTTGGTATCATGCATGATGATAATTCTAGCACAGAAAAGACAGAGAAATTGTCTTTTTCCCCCATAATTTCAAGGTTACCCTGGTCTATGTAGATGCTGTTTCCAAAGCCCCCCTCAAAAACAGCATAATAAGGACCGAGATGTCAGCTGAAATTATTTGAAAGGTATTACAACAGAATGTTCTGGGCTTAGTATTTGAAGAGTAAAAGAGAAGAAAGGATAGCATGATGCTAGAAGTCTGGCTTGGGAAGGTGGGTAGATAGTGAAAGCCCTTTGCAGAAAAGATGGCAGACAGAAACAGCTTTGGAGACAGCCAGTGTGCTGAATATGTGAACATCCAAGTGTGTTGAGGGGGCCTCAGCTGCTGTATAATTGAGCTAATTATATAATATAAGTTTATAGGGAATGAGAAAAGTATGAACAGACCAGACCTCCAAGGAAACCTGCATTTAAGAATGGGCAGATAAACCAGGCAGTGGTGGCACTCAGTGGTCTATGTTATACCTTGCATGTTGTGGGCCATGAGGAAGGAGAGAGACAGTCCTTTTGGATCCCACATATTCACCACATAAGCAGAATCATTGATCGATCAAAGCTGCAGGATAAGGACTCGGGAGCCTTGCTTCTGTGTGGTAATAGGGGCAGCGGGGCTGCGTTCCCAGCACCCCGGCCGCCTGCTCGGCTAGCTTATGCCCCAAAATAATTACACAGACACTGTATTCTTTTAAGCACTGCTTGGCCCTTTAGCTCTAGCACTTACAGGCTAATTCTCACATCCCGATCAACCCATCTCTAATAATCTGTGAGCACCGGTCTTACCGGGAAGATTCTAGCCTAGTCCATCCTGGGTCGGAGCTTCATGCCGGGAGCAGGGCATGGCGTCTCTCAGGCATCTGCTCCCTAGAGGAGAGCTGTCAAGTCTCTGACCTCACTTCCTCTTCCTCCCAGCATTTTGTTCTGTTTGCTCCACCCACAGGGCCAAGCAGTTTCTTTATTGGCCAATGACCTTCCTCCATCACTTCTGGCAGCCCCAAACAGGCAGAAGTGGGGTTTCTAAGCACAAAAATCACAAACATTTGCTGCCAAGTTCCAGTTACAATTTTCACCAATCAGGAGTCAAAGCTTAGGGTCATTCCTTGTGTGTTTCATCACTGTCAATCATACAGAATGTAAGCCTTCCCTTTCAACCAGCCAAATTCATTTGTTCTTTCTGTTGTTAGGAATAATGTTTTAGAGAACTAAGTACATAACAGACTGTTTGAATCGTTTAAGGAGGAGGTGGGTCAGCTATTGGAAGGTTTCCAGCTCCCTGTTTCACCCTAAGGGTAAGATGGAGTCTGAAATCAAAATGGTGGTACTTAGGCCAAGGTGCTTCTGCTTACTCCCTTCAGTCTACAGAGCAAATCGCAGGACAGTCAAGGATATACAGAGGAACGCTGTCTTAGGGGGAAAAAAAAGATAAAGGGGAGGTGGACTACAAGGAATATTCATTCTGGAGAAGAAATAAGGAGCTGGAGAGATGGCTATGGATTTAAAAACATGTGCTCTTCTTGTGGGGATTAGTTTGGTTCTCAGTACCCAAAGCAGACTGCTTACAACTCCATCTCCAGAAGACCCAATACCTTCTGGACTCTAGGTACCTGTATTCACAAGTCCACAGACTCACACATAAACATATGATTTAAGTATAAAATCAAAAAAACAAGAAGTGTGATGTATTTGGGAAGAGTGCTCAGGCATTACTAAAACTGCAGTATTTCAGGTGGAAGAAGTGAAGTGATCAGTTCTCTCCCTAGACAGCTGGCAGGCCAAATGAAGTGAGACCTGAGACAGATTTATAGCATAGAGAATTTATTGATAAAGCACATAAGAGCAGATCAGTGAGCATGGGATTGAGTGTAACTGCAATAGCATGGAGAAACGTAAAGTCGAAAAGTGAGATATTCAAACAGGAGACAGAAGCTGGAGTCAAGAGAGCCTTCCCATCTCACCAAGGAGGAAAGAGATGCTATTTGTGTTGCTCTCCGTTGCCATGTTGAGCTCCTCTCTCCCTGCCCCAGTGCTTCATCCACATTATCTCCTTGAGTTCTCTAAATGCAGACGATGAGGTGGGAACATTTCAGTGGCTGAAATATGGCTGAAAAGTGAAGAGAGAGTAAACGACCAATGGAGAAAAAGACATGGATGGCTTATGACTGGAGTTTTAGGGCAAAACCACAGCCCTTGGAAGCCCCGGTAAGCTATGCCTGACACCCACTCCAGTATAACAGTAAAAGGCACTACTAATGGCAAAAGGCAAAGAAAAGGAGCTGGACAGAGGGTGTTAATTCCACTGGGTGAGAGAGAATAAGACACCTACCACAATTGTTAGTCATATTTGAAGCAAGCTTGATTAAATACTGATCAGGGCCATACCTGGGATTTCCAAGAAATGGTCTGGAGTTGTATTAGTGTAATGTTTATAAAGGCAAAACCCGTAAGGCTGCGCACTTCCACGTTTATGAACAGCCCCTGCATTCTAGGAGGTTACCTATCCTTATAGATGGCTGTGGGCCCCCCAGTGCTCTTAACCTCTGAGCCATCTATCCAGCCCACAATTTAATCTTAAAACATAACTTTAGCCCTCACAATGACTCAGTGGATTAAGACCACGTGCTGCTCTTCCTGGGGACCTGAAGTCAGTTCCCAGATCACAACCTGTCTGCAACTCCAGCTCTTGGGGATTTGCTGTCCCCTTCTGGTCTCCTTAGGTATCCACACAGACAAATAACTTGTGAGGGGGGGGGGAGAGATTTAATCCACATTGCAGGGAAGAAAAATTCTGTATCAAGAATCTTTTGGATTACTAACATAAGATTTTTATTTCTTTTTATTTTGGGGGTGTTTTGTGTATGAGCTATAAATAGGGGAAGAATACAGGAGGGGGGGGCAGGCAAGAAGTCTGCATAATTAAACAGTCCTGGTCCAGGCTTAGTCTGCTTAGCGCCTCTCAATTCCAGGTACTGCTAATTGCTATCAGTCCCTGGTTGGAAGGGTGGGGGTGTAATCTAAGTTCTCATCTGTGAGGATTTGCTGTGCTAGGAATCCAGTGTGACCGAGTTTAGGAGTATGGCCTTATCTCCCTGCCTCCGCCTAGAAGGGATGATACAGGTGGGGTAGACAGATACACCCTCCTGATGCACAGTCTGACCCAAAATAGCGAAGACAGACACAAAAGAAGTACCAGGCTTCCATTTTGCCTTTAGTTACCTGTGGTCTCAAGGGATACAAAAGCTGCTTCTATATGCTTGCTATAGACTTGAATCCTATTGAGACAATGTGAGGATTAGTCTGAGCAAGGGAGCCAAAAGAATTGAAATATTTCCATTTCAGGAAGGAGTTGCAGATAAGGATGTCAAAGATTCCTTAAGACATATATCTGAACTGAAAACTAGAAGAGAAAAAATAAATAAATTTTGGAGCTAAAGATACAAAGTTCCATTATATTATTCTACACCAAGTTTGATAGACAGTCCTGCCGTGGGCCCAGTGTGATAGCCCATGCCTTTTACCTGAGAACTTTGGAAGCAGAGGCCAACTGGGTCTACACAGTAAGATTATTTCAAAAATTTTTTAAATTTTTTAGTTTATAAAAATATCTACAGGCAAGAAAATTGGAAAGCCAGAGCTTCTGAAGGTAACACAGTCTACTTATCATTGGAGACAGTCACCAAAAGTCTGAAATGAGTTTTTTCCAGCTGTTTTTATCTCTCAGTGGTTAGGAAATGCCAGCGAAAGATAATCCTTTATCCTTTCGTGCATGCCCTAAAGAAGACTCTGGTTCTCATCACAAGCCCTCAAGGCAGCAGAGGTCAATTACTCAGAAGAGCTAGGAGATGCACTGACTTTTCAAAGAATCTGTCTCTGTCTGGATGTGTGTGTGTGTGTGTGTGTGTGCTAGCCTCAGACATGAGGAATTGAGAGTCAGGCTGTACTGGCGGATATCCCCAAGCCACAGAGAATTGCTAAACCTCACCTTGACTTTTCTGCTCACCTGTAGAAACAATATGGCCTGGGAGCAAAATCAACTCACCTGGCTCCCAGTCAAAGCACAAAAAACAGCTCTAACTTCATATATCTATCCGGAAGTTACATACATATATATATATATATATATATATATATATATATATATATATTGCTGGTATATAGTTATAAATGTATATATATCATTGCATGCATATATGTTTATATATGTGTATATAGACAGATAGATATGTGTATATGTCAATGCCAGACTTGTTCTCGCCCCAAGGGAATTGAGAGATATTCTGGATTTTGCATCACCTGGAATCACAGGTTCAGGTTTCCCTCTGAGTTAAATGGCTACATGAGATTTTTATAGAACAAAGAAAACTATGTCAGATTGCTTACCATACTGGTGGGGCACCAGTGTGTGTGTGTTATGGCAAAGCAAGGAAAGTTGCTATAGGTTTCAGATGCTGTTGGACAGCATCATTAGCCTTGAATTGGTGAAAGCTGTGGTTTGCTAATTGCAAGTCTTAGGTTAAAATACTCATAAGGAGGTTAAGTTAGACATCCTGTGGGCAGGGGGCAGTGGCCTAACAGTAGCACAGGATAATTTGGCTCCATCCTGTGGGCAGTGGGCAGTGGCCTAACAGTAGCACAGGATAATTTGGCTCCATCCTGTGGGCAGTGGGCAGTGGCCTAACAGTAGCACAGGATAATTTGGCTCCATCCTGTGGGCAGGGGGCAG